GTCTCTACCTCTCTCTCTCTCCCTCCTTCTGTGTCTCTCATGTATCAATGGATAAAATCTTAATAAAAAAACAGAAAGACAACAGGAAAATCTAAAAATATGTGGAAACAGAAAAATACACTTCTAAAATTTCCATGATTCAAAGAGAAAGTCTCAAAAAAATTTTAAAATACACAGTTGAATGAAAATCGAACTCTAGGGGCTCATGGCTAGCTAAGTCAGTGGAATGGGAGACTCCTGATCTTAGGGTCATGAGTTCAAGCTCCATGCTGGGTGTAGAGATTACTTAATAATAAAACCTTTAATAAATAAATAAGTAAATAAGAAAAAAAAGAAAGTGAAATTAAAATATATCAAAATATGTGGAATGCAGCCAAAGTGCTCAGAGGAAAAGGTACAGCCCCGAATGCTTATAATAGAACAGTAGAAAGGTCTCAAATCAATAATCTAGTTTCTCCCTCTATAAATTAGAGAAAAAAGCAAAATAAACCCAAAGCAAGCAAGTTAAAGAAAGGAAATAATAAAAATCATAGCAAAAGTCACAACCAAACAAAAAGCCTGTTCTTCTAAAAAATTTAAAAAATTGATAAACTTCTATCACAATTGACAAAAATAAAAGGATGGAAAATCCACATCACCAATAGGAGGAAGTAAATTGGATATATCACTACACATTCTGCGGCAACTAAAAGGATAGTAAGAGGGGCACTTGGGTGGCTCAGTTCTTTGGGCATCTGACTCTTGATTTTGGCTCAGGTCATGATCTCAGGATCTTGAGATCAAGCCTCGCTTCAGACTCCACACTCAACAGGGAGTCTGCTTCTCTCCCTCTCCTTCTCTCTCTGCCCCTCCCCTGGCTCACACGCTCTCTAAAAAATAAATAGATAAATCTTTTTTAAAAATAATAAATAAAAGGATGGTAAGAGAATGCTACCAACAACCTTATGTTCATAGCTTTTAAAAGTCAGGAAAAAAAATAAAAGTTAGGAAAAAATGGACCAATTTCTCAAAACCACAAACTAACAGAATTCAAACAACATGAAATAGATATCTGAATAGCACCATCACCATTAAACAAGTTGAATTCATAGTTTAAAAGCTTCCTTCTAAAATCCAAGTCCATATGGTGTGACTGGAGGATTCTATAAAATATTTAAAGAATTAACACTAATTTTATACAATCTCTTCCTGAAAAGAGGATTAAATATTACCCAACTCATTTTATAAGGCCAATATCACCTTGATAGCAAAATCATATAAAGACAGTACTAAAAGAGAAAACTATCGGGGTGCCTGAGTGGCTCAGGTCGTTAATAGGCCAACTCTGGATTTTGGCTCAGGTCCCAGAGTCCAAGGATTTGGCTCAGGTCCCAGAGTCCAGGGATTGAGCCCAACATTAGCCTCCCCACTCAGCGAGGAGTCTCTTTGAGGATTCTCTCTCCCTCTCCTTCTGTCCCTCCTCTTCCTTCTGCTCAAGCTTGTGCATGCACTCTCTAAAATAAATAAATAAATCTTTAAAAATAAAAGGAAACTACAGACTAACATCTCCCATGAACTTAAATGTATAAATACTCAACAAAATACTATCAAACTGAATGTAACAGTATGTAAGGATTATATACCAGGATCAAGAAGGATTTACTGCAAGTATGCAAAGTTGGTTCAGCATTTGAAATCAATCAACATAACATACCATATCAACTAGCTTTTAAGGATCATATTCCTACCAACAGACATAGGAAAGTGTTTCACAAACTATATCCATTCATGATAAAAACACTTAAGTTAAGAATTATATTGACTTGATAAAATAGTATCAACAACAAAAAACATATTAATATAAATAGGTAAAGGTGAAAAACAATGTTTTCATGATAAAACTGGGACAAGGCAAGGATGTCTGCTCTTTCCACTTTTATTCAACATAGCAGGAAGTTGGAGCTACTGCAGTTACAGCATGAAAAAGAACATATTAAAAGGCATTGCAGATAATGTGATTATCTAGGTGTAAAAATCTCAAGGAAGCTACAAAAAAACTCTTTAAAAATAATAAGTGAGTTAGTAGGGTCACAGAATACAAAATCAAAATACAAAATCAGTGGCATTACTATATAATAATGAACATGCAGAAACCAAAATTAAAAATAATACCACCTATAAATGTTCCAGTGAAAATAAAATGTATATATTTAACAAACCACACAGAGGATCTGTACACTGAAAATTATAAAAAGTTGACAAAAGAAATCAAAGACTTAAATAGACACACACTGTGTTCACTGATCAAAAAAATCCACATAGTAAAGATATCAATCTTCCTCAAACTAATACATAGGTTTATTATAGTATCTAGCAAAATCCCAACAAAGTTTTTTGTATACATAGATAAGCTTACTCTAAAATTTACATGGAAAGACACAGGCCCTAGAAGGACTAAAATAAAATTTTATTTTACAAAAAAAGAATAAAGTGGAAAAATCAGCCTATTTGACAGATACTGTGGCTTTGATATTACATAGCTACAGTAATCAAGACAATGCAATATCAGCAGAGGGACAGACACAGAGCTCAATGGAACAGAATAGATGCACACAAATATACCCAACTGATCTTTGACAAAAGTGCAAAAGCAACTGAATGGAGGAAGGATAACCTTTCCAAGAAATGGGGCTGAAGCAACTGGCTCTCCATAGGCCAAAAAATGAAGCTCATCCTAAACTTCACACCTTATAAAATAATCAACCCTAAATGGATCATGGACTTAAAAGATTATAAAACTTTTGGGAAAAAAATAGAAAATTTTAGGGATCTAGGGTTAGAGTTCTAGCTTTGACATCAAATATACAATGTACAAAAGAAAAAAATGAAAAATTGTTCCTCATGAAACCTTTTCATGAAACGAAAACCTTTTCTTCTGTGGAAGTCCATGGAAAAAGAATTAAAAAGACAATATACAGACTTGGAGAAACTATTTGCAATCCAAATATTTGACAAAGTGCTAGAATTTATAATCTAGAAAAAACTCACAAAATTCAACAGTTAAAAGACAATCCAATTAAAGTATAGGTAAAAGATATTTCACAAATGAGAATATAGAGATGGCAAATAAGTGCATGAAAAGCTGTAAAACATCATTGGCCAATTGGGAAGTGCAAATCCAAGCCACAATGGGATAAGCACTATACATTTTCTGCTATTTTTTTCCCAAATACTTCAGAATAGCAAACATAAAAGGGAGATAATACTAAACACTGGCAAGGACATGAGAAACTGGACCATTCGTTCTTTACTGCTGGGAATATGAAATGGCACAGCCACTGTAGAAAACAGTTTGGCAAGTGCTTAGGAAATTAAACATTTAATTGCCATATGAACCAGCAAATGCACTCTCAAAGCATTTTTTCCAGAGAAATGAAAACTTATCTCTGTAAAAAAATCCTGCACACAAATGCTCAGGTCAGGGCAGCTTTATCCACACTAGTTCCAAGCTGAAGATAGCAAAGATCTCTTTTCAGTGGTGAATGGTTACACACACTGTGGTCTCCCAATATCATGGCATGCTACTCAGTAGTAAGAAAAAAAACAAAACAAAACAAAAAGCCCAACAACTACTGATGCATGCAACAATTCAGATCAATTTCCAGAGAATTATTCTGAATGAAAAAGTTAATGCCAAAAGGTTACAGTTTATGATTCTATTCAGGCAATACTTTTGAAATGGCAAAATGTAGAACAGATGGGTGGTTGGCATGGGTTGGTGATGGGGTGAGGTACAGAAGACACATGTATGATTATAAAAGAGCAACCAAAAAGGTCCTTGCAGTAATGTACCTGTCCAGCATCTTGACTGCAGAGGTGTATATACAAACCTATAATTGCAATAAAACTTTACAGAACTAGGGACCCCTGGTGTAGCTCAGTCAGTTAAGCATCCAACTCCTGATTTCCGCTCAGGTCATGATCTCAGGGTCTTTAGATTGAGCCCTGCATCATGCTCCCTGCTCAACAGGGAGTCCGCTTGAGATTCTTTCCCTCTGCCCCTCCCCCTGCACACATACAAGCGTGCATGCTCACGTTCTCTCTCCTTAAAATAAATTAATAAATCTTAAAAAAATACCTTTACAAAACTAATTATGCACACATACAAATAAAATGGAAAACAGGAAGGTCAGAAGACTATAGATATCAATATCCTGGTTGTAACACTATGATACTTTTGCAAAAGTTATCATTGAGGAAAACTGGGTAAAGCATCTATGGGTTCTCTTTGTATTACACTTTAAATCTGCATACAAATTTACAATTATCACTCAATATGAAGTTCACTTAGAAAAACACAGGAATGGAATCTTGGAATGTTAATCCCCTATAAATATTCTTACCAAAGAACATTTCTCTTCTTCCCATGTATATACTTACCTGTGGGAGACTCTCCAAGACTCCTTCAACTCTTGGGGACCTTGGATCTGTGGTTATCCCTTGCTCTGAACAGATTAGTTCAGGTTTAGGGGGTAACAATAATGCTCTGAGTATAAAACCTGAGGTCATGGGCTGGCATCTTACTTCCAGACTCTCTTCAGGAAGAGTGAATGATTCTTTCATACTTTCATTTATTCCAAACGTTTAAATGGGTAGATTCTTAGATTCAGTTATCCTCTTTCTAGTCTACTGTGGTTGTGGGGGGATGCACAAGGAGAAAGTGGAGAAGGAAGCCTGGGGAGGGCATGTGAAGCAGAGAATGGGAATCCAGTGCTGGTGAAGCGGACATGGTCAGGGATGATGGCAGCTTAGACTAATATGGTAAGAGCATAAGACGGGGAGACATGGTTGTAGTCAGGATCTATTTTCAATGATCTAGATTTGCCTTGCCTTTCCCTCACACCATCAAGTTGAGACACAAGCAGCAACTGGGACACTGGGATTCTCCCATGGGAGATAGTCTTCCATAAACCGCAGCCCAATCATGCAACTCCTATGCAAAGGAAAGGAAGAATTTTTACCTAGAGAGATGATAGTCTCATAGTTTTCCTGCATTACATCACTGTAAATGATCTTCTGAGTAGGGTTCAGTAATTTCCATTCTTCCTCAGAAAAAAACACAGCCACATCTTCAAATGTCAATAAGCTCTGAAGAAGAGAATGGGTTTTAGTTCAGTACTTGCCACTGCATGAAGCCATCCTATCACTCATCTCTGAAATACACAGCAGGCCAGTCACCAAAGAAGAGTATTAAGATTCAGGGGAAAAAAGTGAAATGGCAGAAAAGGAAAAAGCCAAAGATCAGTAAACAGCTCGGGAGGGGCCTGGTCCCCACTGTGCCAAGCCTAGTTGCCTAGAGGTGAACATCCAGGGCTAACGTGCCTCAGAGCACCTTCCAAGCACTGTGGGTCATGGGCAGCAGACAAAAGCACAGACAAGGCTGCGTTCAGGCTGCCTGAAAAAGCTGGAAAGTACAGCTCACCTGGTACTCAGGCAAGATGAGCTCAGATGCCATCTTCCAGTGTGGGGTGCTTTTCTGCTCAGAAAAGGCTAGAATCTGTTGAGCAGGCACAGCTGTGGATGGAAAAGAGCCAGAGAAAATGTCTCTCTTTTGTGTTTACAAATATTCTGAGCTGATTTCTAAAACACAGGACATCAGGAGTCCTTCAGGAAAGATGGCTCACCTCCACAAGTGTGTGTGTGTGGTGCCAGAAGTGACCTTCTCATTGTAAATGAGAATCAAATACCCACCACGCCAACAAACTGGTTCCCTAGTTGGCTGTTTACCCAGATTTCGTGAGAGAAATTACTACAAGAAAATCCATTATTGTAATTATTTTTTTTGCTTCTCATGAAACAAATTGTTTACTGAGCTAAGCAGGAATTAGAGGTGATTGAAAATGAAAGACTCGGGTCCTTCCAAGCTAGGTGGTTTCTGTCTTTTATTATTTTTTTTTCTTGGTGCACAATCCTCGCCTTCTTCTGCCATGACAACCCATTTCTGATCCCAGTTTCCTCTCTAACATAGAAGGGGGAGATGACCCCACCTGTCCCTATTCCATCTTCTCTCAAATTCCTAAGAAGCAAGGTCCCTGGTGTGAATCCGAGGAATGTCTGGTTTGGGTATTTCTGCACTCCAGCTGACCCTCACCTTTACCCATCATTGGCCTATTGTACTCAAACTTGAGAGACACTCTAACAGCTGGCATGGCTGGGCACCTGGAGAATTCCCATGACATTCCAGCTGAACCGATTACTATCACACTGCCCAGAAGAGAATTATTATGAAGCTCCTCACCTCTTTGATATACAGGCTGGCTTTCTCTGTGAGTATTCCAGCCCAGCTGTTCCTGTGGTACCCGGAGTGTATTCCAACATTCTTTCTGGAACACACCCAGTGGCTGGGGCTCTGCTGGCTTCCACTTAAAGCCTGGGGCCAATGCTGCTCCTCCCAAGAGCACTGCCTCCTTTCCCAGCTCATGGGCTGTGACCTAGAAATAATCCCCATCCTCATTAGCACAGAACTTACTTTCGGTTCGAGGGTGGTGGTGAAGGGATGAACAAGAGTGGAGCCTGGATTCGGGAAGGAAGTTGTGACATTCAGAGAAGTAATAAAAAATTAAGAGGTACCGTGTCACCACTTCTTCGCAAAGAACTACATACACTGGCTAGGGAGATCAGTATAAGATGACAAAAGCTGTGGCTGCTGCCAGCCTCCACCCCTCTGCAAGCAGCATGGGGGCAAGGTGGGGGCCCACTGGCTCTTACACGCTGCCTTTACTGGCTTGCTTTCCCAACTTGGATCCTTGCCTAAGGATATTTCTAACTTATCTGTTTGCTCTAAAACAAACAAACCCCAATTAAAAAAAGACACCTATAGGTCATCTTTCCCAATCCTTCCACAGCCAGGGAAGGACTTCAGGGAGAAAGGAGATACAGTGGAGGAAAAACTGGGGGGAAAGTTCGGACTCTTCCCTAAGATTCTGTTATAGTAAGACACCAAAAATATGCCCTGTCCTGTGCCCTTCAGAGCAGGCCCCCAAGGAAAAGAAAGGTGCTGCCATCTGCTGAGGGCATACCCTTGGCTCCCCACTTCTCAGGAAGGCCTAGGGCAGACCACAGGCACTCCCACTAGAGAAGGCACTACCCTTCCACACCCTGATTCTATCCACTCCCCTCTCTTAGCAGGTTTCTTCTTTCTGTATCCTTGCATCCCTTTTTTCTTTCCATCTCTTATCTTTCTTTGCAGTCTTCCCAAAGTTGTTTGATTTATACTTCTATTTGCTGCCCTCTCTCCTTTGATCTCTAAGTGCTGTGCCTTTTTTTCCAGATTTTTTTTCCAGATTTTTTCCTCCCTTTTCTAACTCCATCTTGCCTTTTATTTCTGTTTCTAAGAACTTAAGTCTTCTCTTCTCGGCCATGCCAAACAAGGCCCACCACCCCCAGTTTGCCCTGGCCTGAAAGTGGGTAAAATACATTTGTTTTTTTCCTAAGGCCAGGAAAAGATGGCCAGGAAGCCTGAAAGCTATCATCTACTGCTGTTACATACCTCTGATTTCAGATCCTGCATAGCAGTCCTAAAGGAATTAAAGAGGAGGGACCTAATCCACCTCATTCCTCAATTGATCCCTCTTCCCCAGGGGTGCCTGAGTGGCTCAGTGGTTGAGCATCTGCCTTGGACTCAGGTGGTGATCCTGGGATCCTGGGATCTAGTCCCATATCAGGGTCCTCACAGGGAGCCTGTTCCTCCCTCTGCCTACGTCTCTGCCTCTCTCTGCATCTCTCATGAATGAATGAATGAATAAATAAATAAATAAATAATTTTTACAAAAAATTTGACTCCTCCCTCCTAACCCGGATATATCCACCTTTGTTCTATTTCATTGTACGAGTAAAGGATCATCTCACCTCATCACTTATTCCACCATGTTCTCTCTGAAAGCGCTCTACCAGGGCCACAGCCTCTTTGATGCTCTGTGGATGATACTTCCGCACCCAGTTCTGGGTATCCCTGGGCAGAATAGACAGGAACTGCTCTAGCACCAGCAGTTCCAAGATCTGCTCTTTCGAGTGGGTCTCTGGCCTCAGCCACTGGTGGCATAATTCCTGAAGTTGGCTGACAGCCTCAAGGGGTCCAGGTGCTTCATGATAATAGAAGCTCCGGAAGTGCTGGCGAGCGCTCTCGGGACCAAGACTGTCCATCTCTGGGCTGGATTTCTGACTGTCACTGGAGCTCTCTTTCACGGACCCCTTAGACTCCCACAAAGCCTCCATGTGTGGGTATAAGCATGCATTCACCTCCAGATGTCTCATCATCATTTGCTCTAGGAACAGTTTTATTCCTATGTGTGACATTCTCCTGGTGCCACCTTTGACAACTGAGGCCTTGTCAGGCTTGGTATAAAACCAATGAGTAGATCTTCTCCCCAAGAGCACTGAGAGAGGGGAGAAAAAAAGTACATGTCAAAAAGAAAGCCACATGACATACATATTTACTTGCTATTTATAGTTACCAGAGAAAAACGAACAGAAAAGAACCTGTCCAGTCTCCCCTTTAAAATCACCTGCCAAGTATGAGGACACTTACGATGACAGATTCCTTCAAGATATCTATTTCTTTTTGTCACTCAGCTTGATAAACAAAGCACAGCTCAGAGAAGACAAACCTCAATCGGTAACTTTTCTTTTTTCTTTTTTTTTTTTTTTTTTTTGGTTTAAGGTCGAGGAAAAGCTGGTGAGTGAAACTGGCACCCACTCGCTAAAAGGAGCTTTGACAATATCCAATATTTAATCTGTGTGCTTCCTATTTCACCTGCACAAATAGGGCATATCTGAGTTTCTCTAAATTTTAACAGATCAGCCCAGCCCAGTCTTTTGTCTTTAGTTAGGGGGAAACAACTACTATGCCCCTTCCACCCCTAATTAAGACTGAAACTTTTACCTCATGGAACATTTGATAGTCTCTTTTCCACTGTATTAATACAGCAGGAGAGCTGAGACAACCAGATAAGAAAAGTAAAGCCATTAGGGGAAAAAGTAACCTAATCCCTCTCAGCAAATATCCTCCAACTGAGCAACCAGGTGTCAAAAAATAATTGGCGAGGGGGGGGGTACTTTGGGAAGACTCATCAAGGGCATGGTGCTGATTTGTACTTGTGTATTAACTTTTTGCTTACTTTACTGGAAAGACAACTTGGCCTTGTTTACCAAACACAATGTCAGCTTGTAAAAAATGAGACAAAGGGTGATGATTAAGGTTCCTGAGACAGGAAGGGTCCTAATAAAGGTAACTCTTCTCCTGACTTTACAGTTCCTTAGGGACACACAGATCTTTTAAGTAAGGCTAAGGGTAACCCCGAAAGGCCGATTTTTCCTGAGCTATTCCAGCAGAAACAGCAACAAAGTTCTCTTGAGGATGCCACGGGTATTCAAAGAAATGCTCGGTTCCCTGCCACTCCTCCAGGCTCGGAAGGTACAGGGGAACCTCCTCTATTTCTATGTCAGCAGAGCCTAACATCTCTGAGGCTGAAAGGCCCCTTGCTTCAGCGACCTGACCAGCAGCCAGAGCGGAAACGGGGAAGTTCCGCCAGGTGCAGCGGGGGACACTGCTGCTGCACCCCCCACCCTCCAAGAATCCGAGACGCCCTGGGGCCTGACCACCAGCGCTCTCCCGGGGACTCCGCGGGCGGCCAGCCCCCCACCCGAGGATGCTCGGGGGGCATCACTGGGCTGCACGTGCACATGGGGGACAAAGAGTGCTGGCGGCGGCTGGACGGGGCGGTCGGAGCAAGGGCACTCGCCTGGCCCTGCAGCCGCGGGCCACTGACCGCCTGGCGCGTGGCGGGAGGCTGCCGGCCCCGCCCCAGCTCACCGCCCCGGGAGAAGAGGGGCCGCCACTGGCACGTGTGGCCAGCAGCGAAGGGGGCGCGGGCCACCAAATCCCAGGGGCAACGCAGCTGCTTCATTACCTCTGCCCAGCCCGAGCTTCCGCGGACGCCACTTCCCTCTTCCTCAACTTGGCTAGTGTCTCTGCGCCTTCCCCGCCGCCTCGCGGAGGGAGCGCCCGGTTCCCGCGCCTCTCCAGGCCTGGTGACGGAAGCTCCGAGCTCGGGAGCGCGGGGGCCTTGGAGAACTGTTCCCCCATCCGACCCCTCTAGCTCCCCAAGGCTGTGCCCCGACTCGCCATTTTGGGGTCGCAGTCTGTGGACCTCGCCCAACCGGAAAAGAAAGAATGCGCTTCCGGTGGCTACGTGACAGTCACGCCCAGTCGTCTCCCTCTCTCTACCTGTGGCGTCTCGGGCGCAGCCTGGCAGGCAACGTGACCCCGCTCCCTTCCGTCCTGGGAGCGCAGCTTTCTGCTCAGGCTCAGGCTAGGACGCGAACGCGCCTATTCCAGGCCTACTAGAGGCCGGTGGGAGGGAGCCAGGGCAGCGGCTTGTCGCCTGCGAGCTGTGTAGCCTACCGACTCCAGGTGCCGCGATCATGTGGCCCTGACTTGCCAAGTGCAGATCCTTCTGGTCGCGTTCTGGCAGCCAGCAGCCCTTTCTACCTGGAACCTCACCCCCACTCCAAGTGAGGGCCGCCGCCCTGAAAATCGTCACTAGACTTGTCCCAAGCCTCCAGAATTGTAAGGCATAATGGCCTCAGGATCATGTGGATTGCAGTGGCAAATTTTAGAGAAAAATTGAGGTCTTTTGCTATTTCCCTTGCTTTTTCTATTGCATTATGTTTCTTCCCTGTGAGACAGGAGGAACCTTGTTTCTCTAGTTTATTTTATTTTTTAAGAGAATTTATTTATTTATTTATTTATTCATGTGAGACACACACACAGAGGCAGAGACATAGGCAGAGGGAGAAGCAGGCTCCATGAAGGAAGCTCGATGTGGGACTCAATCCCGGTGGACTCCGTGATCACGCCCTGAGTCAAAGGCAGATGCTCTCTCTTTAAAAAAAAAAAAAACTTTAAGAGAGAGGCAGAGGCATAGTAGGAGAAGCAGGCTCCCCCAGGGGAGCCCGATGAGAGACTCGATTCCCAGACCAGGATCACACCCTGAGACAAAAGCAGACGCTCAACTACTGAGCCACCCAGGCATGCCAGGAGCCTTGTTTCACCGTATTACCCCTTGTAGTGCTCAGCATAGTCTTCTGGATAAGTCGCTTTTCTAAGAACCTGAGTATCTTGGGTTGTCAGCATCTCCAAATTATCCATGTTTACCTAGTATTGAGCCATTTGGATGAAAACTGTCCCTATGAATCGAAAGAGAAGAAACTAACTCAGTAGGGCGGTGGGGTTTAAACACCTCTTTTGGAAGTCTGTGGGAGAAGTTTCCCTGGGAAGCAGAAAAGAGACCTGCAGGCCTAGGAGAAAAATAAAGAGTACTTATCTAACTGTTTACCTGAGGAGACACAAATTAAGTTTTTGAAAAACAAAACTGCCTCAAAGCCTGCAATAAGACAGTGCATTATCTGTGGCATATGACCCTAGTAAAGATGTTTGCCTCGGGATCCCTGGGTGGTGCAGTGGTTTGGCACCTGCCTTTGGCCCAGGGCGCGATCCTGGAGACCCAGGATCGAGTCCCACGTCAGGCTCCTGGTACATGGAGCCTGCTTCTCCCTCTGCCTGTGTCTCTGCCTCTCTCTCTCTCTCTCTCTCTCTCTCTCTCTGACAATCATAAATAAATAAAAAAAATTAAAAAAAAGATGTTTGCCTCAACAGAGAAATGATTTCAGAATCGATCTTTCAAAGCTATGTTCCTAAGGGCATGTATTTTCAACCCAATGTTTTCTAACAATGAAGAAGAATTAAAGGCATTGTTACTTCTGAACCATTCCTTCCTGGGCTTACCCTTTAATTGAATCACTCACTAACCAACAAGGGTAGTTAGATAAAAGGCATTTTCTTTTTATTTTGTTTTTTTAATCATAAGGTTTTTACACCGTGTGAAATTTATATCTTAATCTGCATAAAGTTATACCTTGTAACTCTCTTCAATATAACTTATCTGTGGATTAAACAGTTAACCATTTAGAATGAATATAGAAATAAGCATAATAGTCTCTTTAACCTAATATGGTTTATAAGCTTCGAAGAGAAAAATCTTCAAAAGGAATATAGACTCCAGGAAGACAATTTGTAATTTATTTAAAAAAATTCATTATGTATTGTTAATATGGTTAATAATAAAACCAAACATTGAGCTATGTTCTCTTTTTATAAAACTGCAAAAATTAGGGGTTTCTAATTACACACATAACACCTAGATGACATTTATGGTTAAATTTGGGCTAATATGTTTGAAACACTAAAAAATGTAAAAGCTAGAGGGCATTTCTCTTCCTTTAAACACTTCAACCTTCAACCTTGATTCACAAAGGAACCAAGGTGTGATCCTGAGCTGCAAAGAACTCAGTATGTGGAAACAACTTGAAGAAAAACATTTTTTGAATAAGCTTACAATTAGCAAGAGAAGGAAGAGGACTTTCCAGAATTAAGATCCACAACACAGGGCAGCATGGGTGACTTAGCGGTTTAGTCCCGAATTTAGCCCAGTGCGAGATCTGGGATAAAGTGCCACGTCGAGGTCCCTGCATGGAGCCTGCTTCTCCCTCCCCTGTGTCTCTGCCTCTCTCTCTCTCTGTAGCTATCATAAATAAAAAAAAACCGCAGGATGCATGAGAGTCTGAGCTTCACACCAGTGGGCTCTGGGCTAGGGGTCCTAGCCTGCTAGGAAGAAGTCAAGCACATAGGGGTTCATCCCCAGAAGCCACCCACAGGCAAAAGCAGGAAGGAGCAACCGTACTGGTTACCAGAGGCCACAATCACCTCCCTTACCTTGCTGCCTTTCTGCCAAAGCCATAAAGCTGCAGGTCCTGACCTCTTTGGTAGTTAGCAGAAGCTGATGAAAGCCATGGAATCACCTCCCAGAAATACAAACCACACACACACACACACACACACACACACACACACATCCCGTGTCAAAGGTTTACAAGATGTTCATGAACATCCAAGGACCCTCTACGACTGTGCTGCCCCATACGATAGTGCACGTCCCATGTGGCAGTTTCAGTTTAATTAACCCGAAAGATTCAGTTTCTCATTCCCACTAGCCACATTTCAAGTGCTCTAGAGACAGAATTGCAGGAAGTGCTATGGGACAGCTCGGCTTTGAAACTCCACCGGCCGAAGGCTAAGGACCCCACCCCTTATGCGAAGCCCTATCCATCTGGTGGCGTGTAACCCCACTGCCAGTCTAGTGAGCGCCGTCTTCCGTTTCTGTGTAGAGGCGCGCCACCGAGGAAGTGGGGGTAGCGCTCACACCTCTGCTGAGCAACCCTGAAGGTCCAGGTGGCCCTGAGTGACCCTCGGTCACCTTCCGCCACGGGCATCATAGCTGCAGCCATGCCTCCAAAGGCTGCAAATCCACAAGCCTTCGTGCCTCTCCGCTCAAGGGGTGCGTCCTTCAGCCAGCGTCAGCGTGACGGGCCTCCTGCTAGGGAGGGGCATGCGGGGCTTCCTCGGGGGAGAGAAAAACAGACCGCAACAGGGTGGGCCACCGGCCATCTGGGCTGCGTGAAGAACGAAGGACACCGACCAGATCACGCTCCTCCTGCTGGGTCCAGGTGCTGCTCTAAGCCTCCTTCCTAGGCATAGGTCAGGTCCCCCAGCCCTCACCCGAAGCTCAGAGGTGGGGGCTAGGATCATGCCCGGAGTACAGAGAAGGGGCCTGAGGCTTGTGGCTCAGGAGCACTGACTAACTCTTCCCAGGTCACACAGAAGATGCCAGAGGGTTATGGCGACCGGGCTAGAGTGGATAGCCCCTGCAACGCTCACGTGTACCAACATCCAAAGGTTCTTAGTGCAACGTCTGGGGCCACGCTGGTGGACACAGGGGTGGTCACGTGCACGTCAGCACAGGTCTCGAGACCTCTACCGCCCCCCACCCGCGCCCCCCACATGCTCTCCCTCTCTTTGCTCACAGCCCTGGGGTCCCCGGCCTCGTCCCTGGAGGGGATGAAACAGAAAACGACTCATGACTCTTCCTGCCCAGTCGTGGAAAACGGCGCTGTTCCCACCCCATCCCTGGGCAAGCTTCTTTGGAGGAAGAATGATTTCTTCCCTTGAGGGAGGGCGGGGTGGCAGAGGGAGAGGGAGGGAGAGACTGCCAAGCGCGCACTCCCGGGCTGAGCGGGAGCCTGACCTCAGGACCCTGAGTCCAGGACCTGAGCTGACCCCAAGAATCCCAAGCTCAAGCCACTGAGCCGCTCAGGCCCCGCCCGCCGCCCCGCCTCTGCCCCCCCCCCCCCCACCTCGCGGAAGGTATCTCAAAGGAGGCCCAGTGTCTCTCCTGGAACCGTCAGTTTCCCCAGGTTTCCCGCGGCGGCGGATGCAGCTGCACGGAAGCCACGGGCAGCAGGCCGGCCTGGCCCAGAGGCAGCGCTCCTGCAGGGGATTGCGAGCGAGCGAGCGAGCGAGGGAGCGAGCGCCCCTTCCTTGAGAGCGTGCGCGGTCGCCGGCCCTCAGCCCCGAGCCTTCCTCGCGGCTCCAAGGCATCCAGGGAGCGGGCCGCTCGGGCTGTGGACGTGCCCTGACCGTGCTGGGCCTCAGAGCTGGCAGCCCTCCGCACACGGGCCCCAACCGTCCAGCACGACCACCAGGGAGGGCCCAGATGGTCCGGCCGTCCCTCCATCCGCTCTCCCGCAGGGCAACCTCACTGCATGCACCGCGGCCGGCCGGCCGGCGCTCGCCGCTTCTCCCCAAAGCCGCCTGAGCGAGCCCGCGCTCACTCGGCCCCGGGATAAGAAGGCTGCGTGCAAAGCGGGCACGCACTCGGGGCAAAGCGAGGGCGACGCGTCTCGGGAACGTCCAAAATCCGGTCACCAGGCAGCTGCCGGGGCGCCGGGGCGGGTGCGGGTGCGGGTGCGGGCGCGGGCGCGGGCCCCGCGCGCTCCCCACCAGGATGTCCCAGGGCCCCGACGGGCGCTCCTCGCCCCAGACAGCCTCGGGAAGGCCCGGCCTGGGGCGCAGGGAGCGGCGGCAGGGAGTCCGGCGGGCGGGACAGGGGCGGGCCGCGCGTGTCCTTCGTCCACGCACCCGCCGCCCATCTT